ATAATGTTATGTGCCCCTTTAGCTGTATTGGCTCCTGGAGGTAAGGAGGGGTGAGAGAGTAATATCTGGGGTTTTAATCCCTCAGAGAACAGATATGACATCAAACCCCATTAGGATCAAATCTAGTCACATCATTAAAAATCTGCATTTAACATAATTTTGTAGATTGCATTACCATTAAAAATTCAGTGGAAAGCAAATCTGCATTTATCATAATGTGGTGCTGGATATAAATGTCTTCAGTTAAAACTAGGCTAGACTAAACACTTTATCTGTTCTTGGAAACATCTGCACTCACTCGGGTAATGGGCTGGATCTCTTAAGTCTTTCCCTGGAGCTTCTAATTTGTAGGCCAATTTTGAAAGTAAAACTAAAATCAGAAAAACAGAGGCATCCCTGAAGTCTTGAAAAAATAAGTAAGGCATTTACTTATCAGAGACACCCAAGTTCCCATTGTAGCTGTTATGCTGATAATTAATCTTACATCCTCAATCTGACTTTCATAATTTATTTATATCATAATATTTATCCACCTAATACCTAGCAGTGCTGCAGAGATGAACAAACCACGGCTTGCGTGTACTTTGAGCGCTGGGCATTGCAAGACTTATCAAACCAACATCCCTAAAAGCTTAAGATAGTGGTAATAAGATTAAAAATTGTAAAAACAATTTGAATGAAAGTGGTAAGAAAAGATGTGCCCTATATGTAAAAAAAGTAAGTTAATATACAGTTTTTGTGTTCAGTACCAAATGCAATCCTCGTTACTGCTCTGCCACCCATGCCAATTTAAAAGCCACGCATTTGTGCGGCGAGTTTAGTTCAGGTACACTGCCCAGTTTCCAGTTCCAAAGTACAAGTTACTTGACAGAGCTGCAGAGGGGTCAAGTGATTTGCACAAAGGTAAATAAATAGTTATCCGCTCAGCCGAGAGTTAGGACCAATATCTTGACACCCACTCCCACACCATTTCTGACCTCCACATAGAGCGCACAGCACAATGCTGGAAGACTCAAACAGGGAGCAGAAAAAACAGACTGTGTAGAGAGGTCATCTACTTTTTTTCCTCTACTTCTGGCAGGGACAAATCACGTGAAGCTTCGGCTTGTGCCACTGTTATCCTACATGGTGTTTCCTTCGCACATGAAAAAGCTAACTTGGAAAAGCATGGCTTTTCATAGAATCATAGAATGGTTTGGGTTGGAAGGGACCTTAAAGATCATCTAGTTCCAGCCCCCCTGCCATGGGCAGGGACACCTTCCACTAGACCAGGTTGCTCAAGGCCTCATCCAGCCTGGCCTTGGACACTTCCAGGGATGGGGCATCCACAGCTTCTCTGGGCAACCTGTTCCAGTGCCTCACCACCCTCTCCGGGAAGAATTTCTTCCTGATATCTAATCTAAACCTCCCTGATTTCAATTCATGCCACTGAATCCTCCAGATTTAGTCCTTCACATAAAGGCCTAAAAATACCACCTTCTGAGAAAGCAGTCCTATATCACGTTACTCATTATAACCTTGAAGATGAACTAGATTTTTAACAAAATCAAATTTAATTTCACAGGTTTCTATAATTACAGGTTTAGAAAATGACTCAATCTACTAAATTGGAGAGAATTTCAGTGCTGCAGAAAAGCTCAGCTGATCCTCAACATCTCTAGGCTGGCCAAGGTACACAAAAACACCATGTAGTTCCTGATGGCATTTCAAGCACGTACCCCAACAAATATCAAATCAAGACTCTCTCATGTTAACCTGCTAACAAAATGGCACTTTGTTTGTTCAGACTGTAAACTGCAATAAAGTGAGTGGTCCAGCTTGCTTCATCCAAATGTCTACAGATAAATTTGTGACTATTTAAAAAAAGCAAGCCTTTTAGTACTAAGGGTGATGGTTCATCCTACAGAACACTTGCAAGTGTTATTTGTCCTACTCCTTTGAAAATGAAGGATGTAAAGCAAACAAAAGCAAGCTCCAAACACCTGCAATTCATACATCAAGAAGCTAATCTTTGGCAGGTTATCATCAAAAGAACTCGACCTCAAGGAGCCAATCCCAATGAAAATTAACAATGAACAATAATGCAGGCAGTCAAACATAACTAACAGTGCATTTATGGCAGAAACAAGTCATGCTTTACTAAAATAGCTTATCCAACCTTCATGTTGCTATTTTTGACCATGTTTATCAAGCGAGAATTCACTAAAAGTGAATTAGCAGAGTACGTGAATAATAAAAATAATTGAGGGCTGAGAAGGATAAAAGGGAAGAATGAAATTCAATGGTATCACAAATAACTAGTATAAAATTTAGAAATTGCTTTGATGTAAAAATATGGGAATATTGAAAACCACTACATTTTTATGAAATGTAGAGTTCTGATTCCTCTACTGGACTACATGCAAAGCAGCTACTTTTCTCTAGCTTCCTTGACTTGTATGCAGTTGATCTCAAACAATGGAAGAGTCTAATTAGTCTTCAACGTATCTCCCCCTGTACTGGGCACAGGTGAGGCTGCTCCTTGAATACTGTGCTCAGTTTTGGGCCCTTCCCTGCAAGAAAGACACTGAGGTACAGGAGTGTGTCCAGAGAAGGGCAACGGAGCTGGGGAAGGGTCTGAAGCACCAGTCCTATGAGGAGCGGCTGAGGGAGCTGGGGGTGTTTAGTCTGGAGAAAGGGAGGCTCAGGGGAGACCTTATCGCTCTCCACAACCCCCTGCAAGGAGGGTGTATTGAGGTGGGTGTTGGTCTCTTCTTCCACTTGACAAGCGATAGGACAAGAGGAAACAGCCTTGACTTGCTCCAGGAAAGGTTTAGATTGGCTATTAGGGAAAATTTATTCACCAAAACCATTGTCAGGCATTGCAATGGGCTTCCCAGGGAAGTGGTTGAGTCGCCATCCCTGGAGGTATATAAGACACGTAGATGTGGTGATTAGGGACATGGTTTAGTGGTGGACTTGGCAGTGCTGGGTTAACGACAGAACTTTGTACTCTCAAACATCTTTTCCAACCTAAACAATTCTATGATTCTATATAATGCTGATACAATATTGTGTGTTCTCGACTGCCATATTTGCTCAGATTTAACTTAATTACTAAGTTTTTGTACAGATGTCTGTCTTATTGCTTCTTCCTTTATTTCAGCTATTTTTATCTAGTGAATGCTCAAAGACTTTTAAGTCTAGGAACCTTGTAAACACTTGTGTAATCTGTACCCTGCTGGGGCTGGCCATGGTAATTTGTCAGTTTTATTTGCAGCAGGCTATAACTAAACCTTGCCAGATGTAAATCATCTTTTTGTACTGCTGCTTGCTGTTTCAGTTACAAATGAACCTCGTTTCTTACCTTAACACATCAAGAAAGCTAGGAGGTTCCAGGAAAATTTAGAAAACCCCAGGGTCCCCTACTGCAAGGCTTATTATGCAGTTTAGCAACTGTTTAAATACTGAGCAAATAGAGGGAATAGTCTCTGTAGGCAAGTTTGGAGTGCAATCAGGGTGTGTGACTGCAACAGAAAAACATACTGAAGCCTCAATCTTGTCAATTTAAGCACCACCTGCAGTGACAATGGTGAAACATGGGTGACAACACAGACTAAGTACATTTAAGAGTATGAGTGCCTAAATGGGAAAGTACTCTTTGCTAAAGCCTATTCTCAATAGGTATCCTTGGGTTTTGGTTTGTTTTGAATAAAAATTGCCTGGCTGAGACAGATGTTTATCGTGTCTAGTGGCAACAGAAGACACTTTCTAGGAAAAGCATGCACATCCAGCTACTTGCTGTGGACAGTCCCATAAAACAAGTCGTGGTTCCCCTTTGAAGCTCAGCTGGCTAAAAGGTATAAAGGATCCCAAATCCCATGTCCTGTTATATGATGGATAGTGGGCTGTTATAAGGGGCACAAAAACCTATTCCTTCCATGTCAGCACCCTCCTGAGACTCAAGTTGGTATATTCCCAACAAATCCCAGCAGGTATTTCTATAATAGTGACAGATATTTTCACTATGATTTTCCATCACATAATGGGATTATATATCCTAACATTGTTAATTTTTGACTACTTTATCAGCTTGGTTTTTACTACTTTACTGACTTCTTAATCTTGGCACAACACTGTGTCATGCAGAAGACTGCAAAGAAGTAACAAGCACCTTTATAAAGGACACTAAAACAATATAGTATTGGTAGAGACAGAGCTATAGATCACTCCTCATACAGCATTGACAACATTTTGAGTATAAATAAAGGCTATAACGGAAGAATTTTAAACCATCTTTTCTAAGCTGTTAGTATGGTTGATTATTTGCCCGTAACCCAACTGCTGCCACTGCAGAACCAAAGATTTCTTGAGCCGTAACTGGCTCACTTCTGTGCACTCTGGATTCCCTTACCTTGAGTGAGCTACAGCTTTACTAAGAGTCTTCAGCTCCTTTCCTTTTTCTCTAAATGGGGAGAGCCTCTTGACCGGTTCCGGTGGATAAGACTAAAAGTGATGAAATAGAAAATAAATATTACAGTGTTAATTAAGAAGAGCTTAGTGCAGAGGTGTTGTTATGTGCAGATTCAGGGTTCAGTTTTAATCATCAAATATTTTCTGAGATGGCTATCGTCTGTGGCAGCGTTGTCTCATTTCACAAGCATGTAAACAAGTCTCATCTGATACTGATGTGCATGCCCTCGTGTACATGTGTTCCAGAAGCTGTTTACTCACTGGCTGACTTCAAGTTTGACAGATCTTACAGGCAGTTAAGCACCCAAGAGCATCATTAAACTGTGAGACAGGAAGAAGAGATTGTTCAGTGGCCTAGACTTAAGGAATGACTGCTGTCATGCATTGACAAACCACAGAAGTATGCATGGGGGAAACCTTTTAGAAGGCCCAACCCAGAAAAATTTTCAGTCAGACTCAAAACAAGGAGATTGACGTTTGTAAAAAGCAAATCAATAAGAGAAGCTCCACAATCATTGGTTTTGGAGCGCAGAATGTAAACTCATTGTTTTCTCTTTTATTTTTTAAAAGTGTACAAAGTCAGCAATTTTACGTAAGGCAACTAAAATCCCCTACTTAGTACATTGTTCAAAATGCCTGCAACATTTTTGTTTCTGAGCAGCCATCGAGCTGAAAGCTTATAATTGCAGTTGAACTAGCCCTGGCTTAGAAGTACCCTTGGGGTTTCCACAGAACAGCGGCATCAGCTGCACAGAATTACGATTGCATGCTGTGCATATGCAGTGGTTTGGCATGTGCTAGGTAATAAAATACGCAGCTGAGGCAGTGCTCGATGCGCAGGAAGTGCATGGCTAAACTGCTAGCTGTCAGGAGGCATAGTGAGGTGCAGCCTGAGTGATTCCTTGGGGCAGTTCCATCCATTCACAAGTGTTCTAAGTGTCCAGAAAAATAAATTCCCAGTAAAGAAAATAAAGAAGATGCTTTATTATGCCCCTGGGAAAGCATGCAAAAGTCTATTGCAGATCTCACTTGGATCTGTAGAGAAAATGCTCGCCTACCCAACAGGGGCTGCAACTCTTCCTTCAAGTCTTTATGCACGTGTAACGTTTTTGATGGCTGAAACAATTGCTGCTCTGTATGGACAGCAGTTTCCGCAATACGACTGAGCTGCATACTTCACCCTTTGGTACTATGTTTTTAACTTTAAGGGAACGTTCTGGAAAGTGCAAACAAACAAAAGACTTTGTACTAATGAGATGCACAGATAAAAATAATAACTGTGAGAACTGAAAAGAGAAATATCGATAAATGAGTGTTTTGGTGGAATGTTTCTGGTATTCAAGACAGAGTGCTCTGGCCAGTAAAACAGCTGGCACAGCTGCACTTTTTAGCGGGATTTCACAGCACATCTTATTTTCAACTTTGTTAGGTTCCAACAAGCATGAGATACCTCACTGACTGATCTGCATTAGAGAAAAAGGAAACGACTGGGCTGTGATAGGTAAGATATTACTGGATGCTGAAGTCAGGCTAACACTTGTGCTTGCGTTCTTAAAGAAACACACTAAAAAAGAATTTAAAAAGTCCTTAGTGTTAGTTGTCAGTTTCATATAATTGCAAAGGTGCCATCCTTTCTCTATTGTTTACATTTTTTATTCTCTTTATAAAAAAACCTTACAATCCAATCAGCTGCCTGGCATCCAGTTTTGTTACGAGGAGAAAGGAGATGGATCATATTTTAAATAAGCTAACAAAGACAAGATATGATGAAATTAAAACATTTTGCTGGACTGTCAAATAAAAATCAGGGAAATTGTTACAGGCACACAGAGACATTAAAATGGGTTTTAATTCCAACATTTATTCATATTTCAAAGGCCTGCATTGCTTTGGGATAGATAGCCACACTAGAGCTGCACTGTAACTCTGCACTGTATGACAGGCATAAATCCAGATCAAAGAGATCTTGTTCTCACTTGGGTGGTCTTGGAGGAATTAGAACAGGACTCACCACAGTAACTGTTCTGTGCTGACCAAAAAGTGGCATTTAAGTAAAATATTGGCCTTTCAATATTTGAAATTGTATGTGAAGGTCACACCAGGCAAAGGCTGAAAAACCAGGCACAGGCTACAGCTTCAACAACTATTAATTTGTGTGGCTCTACAGAACACCCAAAGGAACAGGCCTTTCAGCTTCAGGTTCTTGAGGTCTAAGGACGTGCAATACTGACCTATGTACTTTAATAAAAATACGAATTTTTGAAATAAAAAGTACAGTTTTGCACAGAAATGGCTAATACATTCAAAATTAATGTAGTTTAAAGGACAGTCTTCTAGAACTGACACATTGAAAAACTAACACAGCGAAATTGTGAATCTGTAAACTGAATTTTCAGAACCTCATTTTTACCAATTACAATAGAACCCTCTGTCTCACTCATCAGCAATTTTTTCCAATACCTTCAGGAGAAGCTTTACTAGATAAAAACCTATGAAATGTTCATCAGTCAGCAAAAGGCTCGTTCCTTATGTAAGGCTTTAAACCTTGAATTCTGCACACAGATACCTATATGAATAATTCAAATATGATGTCTGTCTGTTGCCTTCTTTAACTCCATCTTGAATTAAGGCATCACCAGTACTCTCACCTTTGGACCGGAAGAGTACTTCTTAGTAGTAACCTCAGCCACTTCTTTGGGTGTTTTTTCTTGCACATTGTTTTTCACTGGTTCCTAAAAAATGAACAAAAACATGTAACTGTATTTGAAATACTGCTAGATACCCATACTGTAGCAGGTCATAATTTTCAAAACTAAGTGGTGCAAATAAATTTTTCTAGAGAGGTGGAAACTAAAGCAAAAATTATGGTCATTCTATTGCAGAAAAACTTAAAATGTCACTAAGTAACTTTGGTGAACAAATAGACTATCACATAAAGTAGCTGCTGACAAGCTGCTGAGCAAAATGCATACATGCTTTCTAAATTACTGTGCTTAAATACTTAGAAAATGTAACTTTTCTGATGGAAGACTGTTATATAGACTACTGTGTCTAACATAAAAAGAAAATCCAATTTCCCAAACCAGGAATAGGAAATTACTTCCCTGTAATTGCTCTTCCCTGAAGATACACACTGTGATAGACCACTATCCTTGGGAGGAAGGCACAAGGAAGGCACAGACTCATAAAAAGCCCTGAAGTCAAACACAAGCACACTTTTAGAACTCATTCAACCATCCATTTATTCAAGGAAAAGGAAGACATATTCTCTCCTATTAAAAAAATGGTGTAAGTAGATTAAATAAAGACTTGAGATCACTCAGTAGTATATGGTGCTCTAAAAGGATATGAAAACAGTAATTCCTTTCTGCACTAGTTTTAGATCAAAGAGCTCATTTATTGATTCCAAGCAAAGCTGGAGGTCCTAGCAAGTCACATCCATGTAGTCAGGGTAGAGCTGATGTACAAAAAAGGCTGCACAGCAGACTCAGAGCTGCGGATGAAATACTTGCTACGCTGTACAGCCTTTGCAGAACAGAGCAAAGCCCAGAAACATTCAGTATTTTAAAAAAATGGAGCACAGCATTTTGCTTGTTGGAATCTTGACTCGAGAATGCAAAAAGTCATTTCCAAACACGCTCCTACATAACATTTCAGCAGAACAAAGGTTGAAAGTGTAAGGAGCAGTATCTTCACTCACTGGAGACCTGCAAACACCAAGGTTCTAACGTAATGACTGAGGCAGCCCACAAACAAGTAGAAAACTAGGCAGGGGAGAAGTAACCCAAACCAGAAATGGGACGAAGAGCAAAGTAGCTGGAATGAAATAAAAATCTTCTGCAGCCAGAGTGCAAGGATGCACTAATGAAACGTCAGAGAAGTCTGAAGGCTCCATTCCTTTTTATGCAATTGGGGTGCACTTGACCAAGACTGGTCAGCAGTAAAGGCAGAAGGCAAACTGACATGGCTCAGAAGCACAAGTCTTCCTACCAAGAAGCCCAAGAGCCTTGGGCTTGAAAACCTCAGTCACGCACTGAACGAGCGGGGAATCGTTGCACAGCCTGAGTGCACACCCATGGGAACTGCTAATCAGAGGAGATTGCTGGGGATGAGTATACATTCAGTATGGACAGGCTATTAGGTTGAACTTCTGGGAAAATAAAAGTATTTGTCATTACAGAAATTTAATCTTAATATTAGTTTTGTTTTTCTTTTCCCCCAGAGATCAGTTACTTATTTTAAACATTTGTAGTAAGAAGCAGATTCTGAATACTAAATGTCTATCTGTGAAAACAGGCTTTCAAAATCAGACCAGATTTTATAAATGAGCTGCCAAACAGGAGCCTTTTTAAAAAAAATAAATTCCAGCATAAGAAGCCTGAAATATTTGTAACTACTTTTCTCCATACTCATGAACACAAATCATCTATCCAGAACATAATTGTCTTTTAGGATTATTTATTTCCTCCAATTTACACTTCTAAATTTCAGAGTACTCTTAAAAGTAGAAAAGTGCCAGATGGATAGAACGAAAGACTTTGTAGGTTAAACACCTTCAGGGAAACTGGTACAGAAGCATTTTGGTTCTAAAACTGCAAAAATTTTAATATTTTGGGCAACATTTAACTTGTATCAGGGCAAACTTCTTTGTCTGAGTACAATGAAAAATCCAAGAATTTCAGGTATTTGGACATCCTTCAATCTTCTTTCTCCTTTCCTGTTACCATTTCCATATGGCTACCTTCTCTTCATTCCATCTCTATTTGTAAACTGTAATGGTAACCCCCCCACAGCATCACCCCACAGCACAATAAGCAACAAAACCAAAAACTGTGACCTGTGTCAGTTCCCTCATCACCTTCGTCTCTGCTACAGGAATAGCACGCAGCAGACTGATGCTGGTGGGACTTCATTTTTAAATTGCACACATTATCTGTATTTAAAGAGAAAGCTATAAGAAATCTGATTTGGAAGAGAAGCATCTTACACTCCAGGAACAGCAAGAGTTCCAGTCTGCTTTGCTCCTGACACTAAATCATTATTTTTATTTCTGCAGAAGCAGCAAAATGTAGACAACGGCCAGGTACCACTGCTTTTACAACTGGCAATACCTGGAATGACATGATTAAAGCCAGCTGAGAGTCTGTCAACAACTTACTACTCGAGGGAAGGAAGAGTGGTCGAACGTAGCCCTGAGGTTTCAATGGCTCAAAAGTACCAGTACGCAGGCCACTAGTATAGGGTCTGGAGCCAGTTAGCTGGATTCATTTCAAGTCTCTAATGCCACAAAGCACTGAAGACAAGTTTTCTCAGGTGCAACATTTCCCTGCATCCTGCCTCTGGCCAGCCAGCTCTGCCAGTTCATGGGGGAAGGAAAAAGAGCTGTGAACCTACCTAACCGTTACACGGTTACTCAGGGAGGGAGGTATCACATATACCACCCCCTCCACCCAGGCACTGACCACAGAATCACAGAATGGTTTGGGTTGGAAGGGACCTTAAAGACCATCCAGTTCCAACCCCCTGCCATGGGCAGGGACCCCTTCCACTAGACCAGGTTGCTCCAAGCCTCATCCAGCCTGGCCTTGGACACTTCCAGGGATGGGGCATCCACAGCTTCTCTGGGCAACCTGTCCCAGTGTCTCACCATCCTCCCCGGGAAGAACTTCTTCCTGATATCTAATCTAAACCTCCCCACTTTCCATTTAAACCCGTTACCCTTTGTCCTGTCACTACAGGCCCTTGTAAAAAGTCTCCCCCAGCTTCCTTGTAGCCCCTTCAGGTACTGGAAGGGGCTATAAGGGCTCCCCGGAGCCTTCTCTTCTCCAGGCTGACCCCCCCCAACTCTCTCAGCCTGTCCCCATGGCAGAGGGGCTCCAGTCCTCTGAGCATACTCATATCCCTCCTCTGGACTCACTCCAACAGGTCCATGTCCTCCTCATGTTGGGAGCCCCAGAGCTGGATGCAGTACCCCCTTCCTCGACCTGCTAGCCACTCTTCTCTTGATACAGGCCAGGATACAGCTGGCTTTCCAGGCTGCAAGTGCACGGTGCCAGCTCATGTCCTGATAACGTGAATCAATCAGCTTTATCACAGGAAACAGAAGGGAATAGCTTCCTTTTCTACAACATATGTTTCATTACAATGTCATGTATTGAAAAGGTGTAATCTGATCTTAAAACATTAACAGTACATAGTTATAGAACAGTAGAACTATCTTTTCAATTTGCAGTGCAGATATAAAAAAATACTGAAATAAAACAATACTGGCATGTCTAATTTGTTAAACTCCATATATTATCATGACAATCTGAACAACCTTTGGAGTTTGGGTGTTGTGGGTTTTTTAGTGTTTTCAACTTACAGAGACTTTCCTCATAGTTCATCTAATTTGTTTTTAAGTCATCAAAAGGTTTGTTTCAGTGATCATTTCTTGCTTTCATTATAGTCAAGTAACAAACTATCATACAACTCCACACGTAAGAAACAGTAATTAAAAAAATATATAAAGTGATAGATGAAACAATCATCCAAAGTGAGATTACACGAGGAAATGACAAAGGTTTTCATGCAAGTGATAACAGCCATTTTTGGTGAGATCACACCCAGCAGCTCTAAGTGGAACGAACTGCAGAAATACTGCAGTAGGTGGAGCTCGATGCCATCTGACTGTCTGTAGCTCTGGTCCCGAGGACCTGGAGGTGACCTTCAGTGCTATCAGAGGTGGCTAATGGCACACTGCCTTAGACAGCGCTTTGTTCACCCAAAAATACTTAAGAGCCTTCAATTTTCTTTCTAAAGTTGAAGAGGACACACAAAGTCCTTTGAATAGCTTGTTTCAGTCTCCAACCACCGCCTGCAGACTCCCAATTTTATCCTAACAGCTCCCAAATACTTCCACTTTCTCTTCTAAATAATTCTGGAGATTAAGAACAGTTCAACCCTGACAAATCCTTCCTTTTATTAAGCATTCGCTCCACTTCATACACCTGCCATCTCTGCAGACATCATTCTGTAAGTTTGGAGAATGTCCACCTTTCTTCTGAAATTCTTACTGTGCAAGAGCCTGAGCCGGGGCTGTGTGTGCCACCTACGGATGGGGAGCCGAGGTACAATAAACACACCCTTGGAGTGCACACTTCCAATTTGTTATGCTTAAGCTGGTGAAATAACATGTTTCCTTGGCAATTCCTGAAGTTTTTTCATTCTGGGTAACTCCTTAAGTTCATGTTATTGTCAGAAATAGCAGACTGACACACCTATCGCACTCTTCTTCCTTTTAAGACATCACTTGAATAGAAGCATTAAGATTACATTTGCAAACTGAATGTGTTTTGATGAAAACAAACCAGCACAGCCTCATCACAAGCCAATATTTCATCATCCAAACACACGGTTGACCTGGTAAAATGTACTTTTTAATTTTACAGAAACATTCATAAAGCTTGGGAAGTACTACCTATAGAGATGACTACTGCTGCTCTGCAGGTGGGATTCTAAATGTTGAATTTTAAAGGCAGTATTCTAGCCAAGTACTCAGGGGCTTGGGGTTTTGTTTCTTCCCTTTTTCTTTCACTGCTGCTGCTCAATACTGACCCTTCCTGCCCTTTCACTAGAATGTGGGAACATGGAACAGACATCAGGACTGAAACAGAATTTTCAGTTAAACACAAGAGGCTCTGAGGCAAAGGACTCCACTAAGAATATATGGCAGAAAACTAGGATTTCTTTA